CATACAAATATGGATGAGAGTTGTAGTCGAGCGGATCTAAAAAGAACAGAACTGAAGAGTGCTTAAGTGGTTGGTCGGATTGTCATCTCTTGTGATGCTGATCTAATGAGATGGAAAAAATCTTCTACCTGGCTCCACTCCACTCTAATACGATTTTCGCTTTATTTCTGTTGAAAAAATCTTTTAATAAGGTGTATTAAATTATTAGCAAAATTTAATGGAAATGATAATGATGATGAAGATGATCACTTCGTTCGTGTTGTGAACAAATTTGTTAACTCACATTTTTGCTCTATAGCAAATGTGGGCAACATCTCAGCTAATCGTTTAAAGACAAAATGAATGCTAACATATTTAAAATAACACCAGACAATTGAAAATCAATATCCATTGCTAAGATTCATCCACATTTTAGCTGAATATGGTGATATATCTTTTTTTCCTGTATTAAAAAGTTCTAAGACAAATTGTTTAAAATTCAACATAAATTGCACATTGATATTCAGTTTGAAGTTGAATAATAAAGTAGTCTGGCATGCAACTTGTTTCGCTGAATATGGTTTTGAAGCTATTAACTAATGGAGTATTCAGAGAATAAATTAATCCATTTGGTGATAAGGAAGAAGAGGAAAATTCCAAACTATATCTAGTTTTGATTTCTATAGCCCTTTTGTATTATTTTATTAAAACGGATTTATATCTTTTATTTATAATAATACAAAGATATTAAATAATTGTTATATTCACAATTCAACTGTTTTTTTTTTATTACTCATTTTTTTATTACATATTATTAATTATTTTTATTTTTTTGTTCTATATTTTTTAGGTCAAAATCTGGTTTCAAAATCGCCGTTCAAAGTACAAAAAGATGATGAAGGCTGCTCAGGTTCCCGGTCAAGGTAGTGGCATGCCTTTGGGCAGTGGTGGTCCAAATCCCGGTCAACATAGTCCAAATCAAAATATGCATAGTGGTAAGTAACAAAAATTTTAATTAAATATAAAAATTAAATTAAATATAAACATAAATCAATATGAAAATAAATTATAAAAAATATTATAAATAGTAAAAATTGGCAAAGAATAAATAAAACTAAAAAATATAAAACTATAATTATATAATAAGAAATATATAAATAAAAAAAATAAAGAAAGAAAAGAAGTATATATTAATTAAGATGATTATATATTAATTAGGCCTCTTCAAAAACATTATTCTAAAAATCCACGCTCTTCAAAAATATTATTCTAAAAATCCACGCTTTGTAGGCCTCTTCAAAAATATTATTCTAAAAATCCACTCTTTATAGGCTCGTTCAAAATTAATACTCTAAAAATCCACGCTTTATATATCTCTTCAAAAATATTATTCTATAAAAAATATTTTAAAAATCCACGCTTTATAGACCTCTTCAAAAATATTATTTAAAAAAATATATTTTAAAAATTCACGCCTCATCGGCCTCTAGAAAAAAAATTAATTTAAAAATAGCAATCCACGCCTTATTGGCATCTAGAAAAAATATTGTTTTAGCAATCCACGCCTTATTGGCATCTAGAAAAAATATTTTAAATATCCACGCCTTATTAGCTTCTAGAAAAAAATTATTTTAAAAATCCACCCCTTTTCCGTCTCTGGAAAAGTATTATTTTAAATATCCACACCTTACTAACCTCTAGAAAAAAAAAAAATATATTAAAAATCCAATCCTCTAGAAAATTAGTATTATAAAAATCGACATCTTATCGGGCTATAGAAAAAATTATTTTAAAAGCCGACATCTTCTCGACCTCTAGAAAAAATATGTTAAAAATTCACGCCTTATAAAAATTATTGGCCTCTAGAAAAAAAATTATTTTAAAAATCCACGCCTTATTGGTATCAAGAAAAAAATTAATTTAAAAATCCACGATTTATTGGCCCATAAAAAATATTGTTTTAGAAATCCACGCCTTATTGGCATCTAGAAAAAATATTTTATATATCCACGCCTTATTAGCTTCTGTTAAAAAATTATTTTAAAAATCCTCCCCTTTTCCGTCTCTAGAAAAATATTATTTTAAATATCAACGCCTTATTAACCTCTTAAAAAAATTATAATAAAAATCCAATCCTCTAGAAAATTATTATTTTAAAAATCGACATCTTTTCGGGCTATAGAAAAAATTATTTTAAAAATCGACATCTTCTCGACCTCTAGAAAAAATATGCTAAAAATTCACGCCTTATTGGCATCTACAGAAATGGCTCATATTTTCAGTGATTTCTAAAGACTATAATTTAATTAAATAATTAAATTCATTGTTTACTAATTTCCTTTTCCTATTTTTTATGATTTTTTTCAGGCGGTAATAACGGTGGCGGTTCAAATAGTGGCTCACCCTCACATTATCTACCTCCAGGACACAGTCCGACGCCTTCAAGTACGCCTGTATCTGAATTATCACCCGGTAAGTTTTAATAAAAAAAAAAAAATAAATATATCTAAATTTTTATTTCAAAAGAAAAAGAAGAATAACGAAATAATACGAGAGCTGGTATATATGTTTCGGGGCTAATAAAGAAAATTCGAATATCTGTCATACAAAGTACAAAATATAGCAGCCCTCGTATTTATTGCTACTATTTTTTTTCTATTATTTAGTTCTATTTTAAAATCCTTATTTTTTTAAAATGTGTTTTATTGCAATTTTTTAATAATTTGAAAATTTTATTTGTTTATTCTCGCAGAATTTCCACCAACGGGATTAAGTCCGCCAACGCAAGCGCCCTGGGATCAAAAACCCCATTGGATCGATCATAAACCACCGCAAATGACACCGCAACCACCTCATCCAGCTGTATCACATCCGCAGACGCATCATCACCAACCACCGCCACAAATGGGCGGCTATGTACCCCATCAGTACTGGTATCAGCCGGAAACAAATCCATCGCTATTAACGTAGGTAAAATTAAATATAAGAACAAAAAATACAAAAAAACATGAAAATATTAAAAAAAAAAAATAAAAATATATATGTAAATGAAAATTAAAAAAAATATATTAATATTTTTATTAATTTTTTGATTTAAAATTGTATAAAAAAATCAACCTAAGCTGTAAAAATTCTAAAGACCAGCTTAGGATTAAAAGGGTTATCAAAAATTATTTCTAATAATTTCCTACAAAGGGAATTTTTCTATGTAAAAATAAATTTTCGGATATATTGAGAATTTTTTTCTAGAGTCTAAAATTCTGCCTCAGATTTGAGGACCTCATTTAGAAAACCTCAGCTTCATCTGACCTTATTTTAGATAAAAAAAAGCTCAAGCCGAAAAAAAAATTCATGAGGAATTTTTCCATAGAAAATTTTTCTAAGATCACCTTATGATTTTTGTATAAAAATTTAGAATGTTTTTTATAAAAAAATCGGCACTAACAGCGGAAAATCAAAATTTTCCTGCAATAAAAAAAAATAAATAAATTCACACAATGAGGGATTTTTATTAGAATTTTCAATAAAAAAATAATAAAAAAAAAATTGAAATATGAATTACGGAGCTATTTTTATGATTTTGTTGATTTGATGGGTTATATAAAATAAAATTAAATATTTCTATTTTGAATATAATTGTACACCTTCCAATATTGAATAAATATTTCTACTTTGAAAAATTTGTAGGCCATCCAATTCAGATTAGGATTTTTTTTATAGACATCAATATTGAATATTTCTTATAAAAAATAAAATCATATAAATATTTTAGTATATATTTTTTTTTAATTTTTACTAATTATTTATATTTTTCTCTCTCTTGTTTTTCTCATTACAGGGTATGGCCAGCGGTCTAACAGACACCTCCAACCTCTACTATAGCAGCAGCAACCACAACAACCTTTTACCAAACCGATCCTATAGATAATTTAATGCATATATATTAAAAGAAAAGAAACAAAAACAAATTCAATAACAAAAAAATATATATTTTTTTTCATAGATTAAAAAATTATATGAGAAAAGAGAAATTTTAATTAAAAATTTTTAAAAAGAAGAACAACCCGAACAATAATAATAAATAAATTGTATTTAGAAAATAAAACAACAAAATACTTAGTAAAAACAAAAAAAGTAATTAAACTATTTTAAAATAATTATTTTAAGGACATTAAAAATATATATTAATTAAAAACAAAAAATATATATAATAATTCTTTGTGTATAAAGTTAACAAATAAACAGTTGTTTAGTTTTATTTTAATAAAATACAATAAAAACAAAACCCAATTTTTCTAGATATTTTTAATGAATAAACTAAGTTTTAAATATATAGGAAAAAACACAAAAACAAGAAAAAAACATTTATGTAAGACATAAACCTAAAAAAAGACAACTTAAAAAACAATTTTAAAGCAAAACATTCCTCATTTGATTTTATGTGCATTTTTTTTGTGTAAATATTATTATTATTAATATTAATTTTTATAAATACATACCTACATATATAATTAAATAATTTTGTTTGTAATTTATGTAATAGTAAACAAAACAGAAACAAAAAAAATAAATTTGAAAAAACAACAAACAAATCAGCTGATGATCTTAAAAATTATCTAAATAAAATTTTGAAAAAAAGAAAACCAACAACAAGGAAACTTATTTAAATAGAAAAAAAAAACACAGCAACCATATACATTAGCAACACAAAAAATCAACTCACACACACACACACTTCACTTTACCGTCAGTCACATTTGCCCAAAATCATCTCCGTCACTCATAGCTAATAGAGTAATTTCAAAAAATACGTGTAATAATAATTTAATATCATAAAACATATTTTTTTTAATTTACAATCAGTTTTACATCAAGATCTCAAATATTTCAACATTTCACCAATAAAACGAACAACAACAGCAGCAGCAGTAATATCAAAATAAGTTAAATTCTAAAATATTTTTTTCGTTTTTTTTTGTAATTACAATTTTCAAAATTATTTCGAATACTTTTTTATTATGTAATTAGATTTTTTTTTGTAAAAATAAATTATACAATTTTAATTAATAAAAAAATAAACATACACACACAAAAAAGTTTCAATAAAAATACGTATTTAAGTGCAATATAATTTTAATTTGCCGCTTATGAACATTAACCATCACCAATACTATGATTTTTTGGAATAGTTCAATCATCTGCAAAATGAAAGTTTAGAAGTCGAACGGGGCCGACTATATGATACTTGATTCCATACATATGTTATTATACAAATTTTCTGCAAAATCATGGTAAGGAGGCAGAATTGGGGTGTTTGGTTTAGCATTTGTATAAAATCGAACAAAATTATTTAAGGGAGCTATGCAAATATTTCAGAAATATATATGTCAGATATATCCAAATCTGAATTAATTTAAACAAAACTTAATATTATTTTGTTCGGAAATTAATTTCGTTTTTCCCGTCAGAGGACTTAATTACATTTTCGAAACCAACTGCACACTTAAGCCGCATAACCTTTATATGTCTTGAAAGCTGATATTGCAAGGCTTGTGTCTGGAAAAGTTATACTAATTCTATGCGGTAGTTATTGGTTGGTGCCCTTTTAAATATGGAGAGCAATAAACAGCATTTTCGTCAGATTTTACTTTCTTACTTTAGAAAAGGTAAAAATGCTGTCCAAGCGAGAAAAAAATTGACGGATGCGTGTTAACGGTACGTCAGTACCAGAACTGGTTTGCAAAATTTCGATTCGGTAATTTTGATGTCGAAAATGCAGCCCGTCGAAGCTGACAAAGATGTGATGAAGGCATTAGTTGATGGAAATCGCGAATAACCACACGAGAGATTTCCGAAAACCACAATACATTTCAATAGCTATGCTGTGGAAAATGTTAGGGTAATACGACAAATTTTGGGTATTTAGTACCCCATGTATATTAAATAGGCCACAAAAATTTATGTAGGAGCAAAATCGTAATCTGAATCGATTTCAACATAACAAAATAAAGGTTCAATGAGGTACGTTATGCAAAATTATGTACCAAATGGGGAAACTTTGGGAGATTAGTGCACCATATTAACCCTTTTAGTGTAAAAAAAAAAAATATCCCTTCTTTGCTCTACTTTACAACACTAATGCACAAAATGGTACGATAGCGGTGATTGCTAAACACGTATTCTCTTTTTGCCTCTTTTCGTCAGTCATTGTTGATGATTATTTCTCAGTTACGCTCTCACATACTTACTCTAAATCTAGTTCTGTTCAACTCTGCTTTACAACTACTTGTGCTCATTTTTTCATCTATCTCTCTCTCTCTCTCTCTCTCTCCCTTTCTCTTACTTGACAAAAACAAACATATTCTTCCGAAGAATAAAACCAACATCAACATTCGTTGTTCGGATGTCTTTTGTTTTGGTATTGTCCTAACATAACCCCCCTCAATTCGTGGTTCTTAGTTTTGCAACCGTTTATTTGACTATTGTTTGTCTTGCTAACAAATGGACTAACATTTGATCCATTTGATTCTCAAAATATGAACGGATCATTAACAAAAATTTTAGCCTTTGTTTCAAGCCAATCGTACTTGTTTAAGGTTGAAACTTTAAAAAAAAAAATTGGATTAAGCGCTACTTCAAGAAGTTTCTTCTTCTGGCCTGCTCACTCAGTAAGCTCTCGTCTTCTTTCTGCTACAATTTATATTGGCTAGAGGATGACTCTTTGATGACTATAACACCCAGTATACATAGCAACTTCTTCAGTCTTCTAGAAAGAATCATCCCAAATATAGGCTGGAGTATATATCAGTCAGGTCCATTTTTTTTTGTATAGTCCCCATATAACGGTATCCCCCAAATTTTCGGTATTTTGAGGGGTTTGAGCGCGAATCCGCGTTAATTTGGTATTTTGCATTCGTATTTGGTAACAAATCTCCCTATCAAAAATTATTAATCTTCTCCCATGGGGGTAGTCCCCAAATAACCCCATTTTTAATACCCTTTACCACACTGTGGTGCAGGGTAATATGTCTTTGTGCATATGTTTGTAACGGTCAAAAGGATACGAGATAGGCATATAGTTCCTTTTGAAAATATGCATAGAATCACTTTCTGAGTCGATTTATCTGTCCATATTAAATTGTAAACAAAGTACAGGCATCATTTTTAATCCGAATTCGATGAAATTTGACACAGCTCATTAATTTGTCCCAAGGAGGAACGCTATTGATATTGGAAAATATCGGTTCAGATTTATATATATTCTCCCATATATTTTTTCGTCCGATATAATGTAAATGGTGCAACAAACTCCCTATATATCTTTCGATTTGCACGAAATTTGGTATAGTGTACTGAATTGAGACCAGAATGACGTGTGCTAAGTTTGCTGAAAGTCGGTGCAGATTTAGATATAGCTCTCCTCCTAGCTCTATGTAAATTGTACACTAAAGACCCAAAGTTTGTCCGAATTGCACACAATTTTGTACAATGCACTGAAGTTAATATAAACTAAAGTTTCATTGAAACTAAAGTTTCATTGAAATCGGTTCAGATTTACGTATATATATTTTCGTCCGATTTAAGATAAATGGTGCACCAAACTCCTAATGTTTGTCCAATTGACACGAAATTATTTGAATTTTGCCATGTAAGGGCAGTGATCATTTGAAAATAATTTTTAAGTGATTATTTATATCATTCGAGTCGAGCTTAATGATCTAAGTTTTGCAATGAAAAGAAAAGCCAGGAGAGGAACCTACGTACCCACCATTATGCGACGCGTTTCGCCGTTGGTCAAGCGGCTCATCAGGCATATTGGGCTATGTGGCTTTACAAATGTCGTATTTTGATAACTTGTATTTATTCCTTGTATTTTGATAACTTGTATGCGAGACTTGCATATGCGAATTAAATTCAAATTTTGCGAATGTTCGACATTTGTCTTCATTCTAGAAAAAGTCCTTTTCAAAGCAGATTTCTGTTGTATCGATGGATAATTAATTCACACACCTACAATTGCTTCCATGGTATACGCGTGTTTATGCGCAACCGCTTTGGAAGTGTGTTGATGGTTCAGAACGTTTCATTGCAAAACATAGATCATTATCACTTAAAAAGTTATTGCGTTTTTTTTTTTATTGGTGCAGATGGTTCAATATATAATTCGAAGACGTGTCTGATTGAGATAAAATTTTGAACAGTGCACCCTAACGAATTGCGTGTATTATGTTTGCTATAAATCAATTTACACAAATGTGTCCCATTATACGCATACGACTCTAAATCTCTAAACCTCCTCAATTAAGTATATCCCCTCATATAATGATAACCCCAAATATTCGCTAATACATACATGATGTAATCAATATTGGCACCGCTTTAGGTATAACTTCCAGGGACATACGCATACGAAAAATATATTTCTGCACTGAACATTTCATATTGAACCAGCGGCCCTCTTCCCGAAATAAAATCCTGTGTACGTTGGTGATAGCCTCATATAACTTTGCCCTATTAATTGCAATATTTTGGGGTCCAGATTTTGGAGTTTTAAGAGTTTAGAAAAAAAAACTTCATTAACATTGCATTACTCATATTTTAGACTCCACAAAGGTCGATTCCATCAAGGTAAAATTATTATACCCTACACAACTGATGTCAGGGTATTATAGCTTTGTGCAGCCCCAAAGAGTTTGTAACGCCGCGAAATATTGGTCCTAGACCCACCTTTAAGTATACCGATCGTCATATCTCGACTAGCTGAGACGATCTAGACATGTGTGTCCGTCCGTCCGTCTGCTCATTATAATTTGTAAACACGATATGGACCAATCTTCACGAAATTTCGCATGTATGATGGGTTCTGCCCCTATTGTTTTTGGTAAAGATCGGTTAATATTTAGGGGACGAAATGAACCAAATACTAATTTTTTTGGGTTTTTAGGCCGATCTGGAAGACTCAATTATGGTCCAAACATCGCGA